CCCCTGTAATTTCCTAGTCATCACTTCGATTATTTATTACCATGTCTAAAATTTTATAAAACCTACTAACACAGTTGACATAACCACAGCCTTTTTACATACCAACTTACAGAAACCAGTCTATGTACACACACCTCAGGGCCTACATATGATATTGAACAAAATAAATTGTCAGCAAAGAAACCTTAGAGAACACTATAATTAAAAAAGAAAATGCGCGTTAAGAATTAATGTTGCTTTATGTGGATAAAGAAGTCTGCTAGACTCTTTCATCAAAACTAGCTTGCAAACTAAGAAGAGACATAGTTCTTATCAAGATAAAATTGATAAATGCATTTTCTTTAGACTGCATAATAGTTGGAGAGCATAAAAACTTTCTTTCTAATTTGAAAAGGGAGCATAATATAAAAGATTGCAGCAAAATTAATAAAATGCTGGGGATTAATATGTAGATAAAAACTGATACCTAATAATAACCCGTATAACCTTGATCAACTTCAAAATTCCCTGTTAACATAAAATCTTTTGTATACTACCTTTATTACTTGTACTAAAATTAAACCCCTCATTGACGGGTAATTGAGAACCCTTCCGAACATTTTTAGTTTTCCCGTAAATTTTCATAAAGTTTAAAATCGATTCAAACCTAAACTAAAGACAACCTACTGTTACTCCGGGGGTCTCATATGGGTCTCGTTTGAGGACAAACCTCATCAAAACTTGCCCACTATTCCTTAGTTTCTAAGGTTCCTAGCCACGCTTCTACTGCTAAACTGATCAGCAATAGTAACAACCACAGCCGAAATTACGGCACGGCTGTTAGCAATTTAAACAACGAATTTATCCAACATACTTGGAACTGTGACGGAACTAAAAATCTGTTTGCAACGGTTTTCAAACCAAAGCCGCATCGCTACATATGACTATTATTCTAGAATGCGAATGGTGTTTGGAGTAAGTAGTTGAGCTCCAGGAACTGTTACAAAGTAAAAGAATTGATGTATGCACCATCAACGAGACCTTCCCAAAGTCGCATTTAACACCACTCGATACCTCAGCTAGCTCTACAAAGTTCCGAGACAGTGGGAACTTTTCTAAGGCAGACCAGGGGTTCTTGTCTGTGCTCGCTGTCTACGAATCCCCTTGGAAGCTACACCGCTCTTGGATATGGACGCCATTTTGGCGAGCGACTTCTCTGCTGTTTGGTGCAGGGGCCTCAATTGCAAGCATCCTTCATGGAACAGCCGAGCCGATAACTCGAAGGACCACATCCTTAAGGTCTATACTGCGCACGGGCTGTGCAAACTAGGTCCCCAGCGACTAACACACTCGGCGACTACAGGCACAATGGACGTACTGAATATCACCCTACTAGAAGATGTACGTCTCACAATGGGAATTGAAGTGCTCCACGTACTGTCCTCCGATCACCTTCCAATTATTCTCGAGATGGGCGACGAGAAGAACACATTGAAGCTTATCAGCCTCCCTTTTACCAACTGGGACGGATATACCGAGATTTTAGAGACCACTATCCCTTTGTGTCCGTCAGTACCACCTACACCCGCTCTGCTGGATGACGCCGTCGCCTTATTCGAAAGCGCATTGGCCATAGCTCGCACTACTGATACAACAACTTGTGAAGTAACGTACCGCCCCAATAGGCTACCTGATAAAATAAAGTCACTTATCTGCCAACGCCGACGTCTTATCTGATTGGCCAAGTTGTCGCAGAGCGCCGAAGACAAACTTGCACCTAATCGGCTGCACAGTTGCATAAGAAAGAAGCTCGTAGCCCATTATAGCATAAATGGGATGCCAGGCTGCACCATATATCCTAATTAGACCATCGCAGTCATTCTACCTTCTGTAAATTAGTTCAAAATATTATAAATCGGGGACTTGCACCGATAGCGCCCCTTTGTGAAGGAAATATAGTAGGAGAGTGATGAAGACAAAACGTTAATTTCCTTGCTACCCAAAACGTGACAGCTGCTCACTTAACTGCCAATGATGCGTTCCAACTGCTGAGCTTCCTTCTTCCCGATGTTCACGAAGCACTTGAACTAGCTAATGTTGACGAGTTTCAAGCGATTGCCGAAGAGCTACCCAAACGAAAAAAAAGTCTGGCCCCGATGGCGCCACTATTGAGTTGCTGAAGAAATTGCCATCACCAGGGTTGCATTATCTGTGCCTCCAGGTAAAAACTGCGATGGCCCTCGGCGTCTTTCCGGCCGAGGGGAGATGGCGGCTGTAGTGATGCTATCAAAGACACTCAAACCGGAATCAGCAACTAGCAGGTACCGACTCATCAGTCTCCTGTTAGCGGTCGGCACTGAGGGTGAGGCAGGCCATTTTACTGCGCCGTCTAAAAGAGTTCGTTAATGCACGGGATGCCACGCCGGAGTTTTAGTTTGGATCCCGGTAAGGACACGCAACAAGCTCCTCCGCATAACTGTGTGAACCTCTCGCGCTTTTAACTTTAAGAGGGTCACAGGCGCTGTTCCCCTTGACGGTGAAAAGGCATTTGATCAAGTTTGGCTTGGAGGTCTGCCGCACAAACTACGCACGTTATCCGTTCCTCATGGTTTTTACAATGTGCTGGAGTCATATCCATATGACCGCGTCTTCAGCGCACGCGTGAGAGATACAAAGGTGCTGCTGCAATTTCTGACGGCAGGGCCCCTTCTTCCGCCCCTTTAATTTGCTGTTTATATGAGCGACGTGCCCTTGCCTTCAAATCCACCTACACCAATCGCCCTCTACGCCAATGATACGGCCATTTACTCAACGTCGAATTCTCCCGTCCCGCTATGCAAGCATCTACAGCGCTATCTTGATACTCTTGCTAACTGGTGCCGTAATTGGAAAGTTTCTATAACTGCGATGAAGAGCAAATGCACTTTTAATTACTAAGAAACACGTCCTCTTGTTAGCGCCCTTTACCCTTGATGGCGAGAAGATCCCGTGGTATTCTCAAGCGAAAGACTTGGGAAATCCTCATTGACAACAAACTTTCCTGGCAGGCGCTCGTGGACTATGTAGTGGCGAAGGTCAAGGCGGCAACTAAGGCGCTTTACCCTTTACTAGGCGGTAATTGTTTATGTCTTACATCCAGTCAACGATAACATACTCGTCTGCTACTTAGACCTACGACTTCTTTACTATGCAGTAATTGTATATGCCTTACATCCAGTCAATGATAACATACTCGTCTGCTACTTAGACCTGCGACTCCTTTGCAATAGCGTCGGCCTTTCAAGTGCTACAGAACAAACTGCTGCGCGCGTTGACAAACTCCCCGTGGTTTGTGCGAGATGAAGCAAATGAAGCTCTTGAGACCAGGACCTGCGGCTGAACCCTTTAACCGTCGTCTTCCAACGTAACGCCAATGCCCTTTACCACAGATTAACCAGGAACACTAATCGCCTGCTGGTGAGTGTACTTACTTACGAGCCTTGGGACGGTGGGGCGGTGTACGTTATCGCCACCCACGTGACGCGCGTAAGCGCTAGTTTTTGTTTGTTTATGTCAAGAAATAATGACGTCTTTTCGATTGAAGGCTGTTACGTGAGATGTCTGCAATCGCTTCTGATTGAGAGCTCGAGAGTATTCAAAGTTTTCTGACTCGCTCAAGCGCCATAAACTTCCATTTAAAAATAAATAAATGAATAAATAAAATCGACTCCTATTCTTTGTTTTTGTGTTTCATTCTATTACAATTTTCTACTCTCTATCAGCTAAATAGTCATGTGAAGCGAACTTTGTAAATCTCGCCCTCGGTCTTCGCCCTCATTTTCAGTACTTGTTATGAACGCCAGCCCCTTCGATTTTGTTCCAATAACACACTTTTCTGAGGTACGATATTACTCTCTTCATCTATTGAACAGGCTTCATATCTGGTACCAAATGCAAGAGGTTTTTCTATAACATTTAAATGTAGCCCATATATTCGGTAACATAGTTAGCATGCCTTTTTTCTTGAGTAGAGCGTAACGTCTATTAAACTGTACTGGCTCTATGACAACTTTTTAAATAAAATTTTAGCTTTATAATATTATCGCCCTTTTTAAAGTATCGCCGTGTTAGTTTATTCTAATTTATAATGATAGCAACTATTTTAATTGCTAGCAATTCAACACAGGTATCTATAAAAATGCTGCTTTTTGATAAAGATTTTTTTTTAAGTTATAAAAATTCCTTAATAGGAAAACCGGCCCTGCATTATTTTAACTGATGCAAAGATTTTAAAACAATCTTTACAAAAATATGTTCAAAGTTTATTTTTAGCCATAACCTAATTAGGACAATATTTTATTAGTGTCAAAATTTTCTAGTAATTCTATTAGAGTTTACTTCAAATTATTTTCTCTTCTTTTTGGGTTTAAAATTTTTAATAAACTTTTTTATTAATTTTTAGGTAAACATTATAATTTTTCGTGTCGCAAGAGTATTTTGAGATTTATTGAGTCAAGTTAGTTTATAGCTTAAAAAATTTATTGTCATAGTGTTAAAACTTGACGCTCAACTAACTTTAATTTTTCTATCAGGCCTATGTCAAAAGACTCAATGTATAAACTAAAACTTTCAACACTTTAGTGTCGTCCTCCTTTGACATATCTGTTTCCGTATGCGCGCTAGCTACGCTTAACACAAATTTTATAAATATTTAAGTAGTTAAGAAAGCTAAAAGTTCTAAAAGTGACTCTGAAGAAGCTTTAAAATAAAATTTGTGACCCAACTTTAACGGGGATACCAAAGTGTCTATATACTTATTGTAATTGACAATTAGACGGGCTGTACACTAGCCTTTCAAATAGAAGCCTTGTTTTTACCATGAAACTTATAACACGTTACCAAAGAAGAACTCCACCATTGTTATAAAGTTAACAAGCTATACATAACGCAAAAAGCTATAAGATGAAAAAGAAACTTTTATTACTTTTTACTATACCTTACACAACATAATGTTTTGGATGTTTACTTTTCTAAAAGTTGTTGCAAATAAAATAATAAGAAATCGGTAATTACAATGCTCCTGAGTTACACAGACCAGTAATATTTTCTAAAAAGCGCTAGTTCGTCGCTGAAAAAGACCGGTTGTCTAACGTATAAAAGTTATGCGACCTACAAGAGTGCTATGCTTAGAGCAAGAAACGACCTGGTTTTTAGGTTTAGCGGGAGGCGTCACCGGTAGACCGGCTGCCTTCCTCAAAGACACGAGCACAGCAAAACGGTTCCCCACTTTTTCTTGAAGTTCTTTTAGTTCTTCGTTCAATGCGAACAAATCATTTTCTCCTTCTTGCTCTTGTACACCACGCTCAACCTCGGGGCGTAGACCGTTTTTCTTCTTTAACTCCAGCTTCTGCCGCTTATCGACTAAAGTTCTACTTAACGAAAATAAAAGTTGAGGAAAGAATTAAGAAATAAGACTTGTGCGCGTCAAGCGAAGATTATTTTTAAGAAACAATAAGCTTTGAAGCTTTGTAGCCAGTTGCGCTGCTTCCAGTTCATAAGAGCCTTGCAGATATTCGTACTAAAGCAGATTAGGCGGGCAATAGTTTAAGTTACAAGCTCAGTGAGTGCACCTCGGCATTAACTGCGCGAAGTCTCTCCTTTAGAGCAATCCTCTCAAGTGCAAATGCAACAGCGCTGACTTCAACCGAGATGCAGTCTCCAATTAAGGCATCCACAGCTCCGGGATGCACTTGCGGGCCGTGCAATTGGAGAAAAGGAGTCTGAAATTCGGTAACCTCCGTAAGCAAAAGCTTATCAAAGGCGACCCGGCTATTTTCATACAATTCTTTTAAATTAGAGATCTCAGCCTCAAGGCTTATAAAGTTATTTTGTAAAAAGGTGCTTCGCGGCTCCGAATTGGATCGATTAAGTGAAGGCTTTAAATTAAGATCATGTATAGTCTCCATTGAAGCACTTCTCTTAATTATGGAAGCTTTTAAACAGCATTGAGAGTTAGAAATTAACTCGGTGAGCAACTGTAACTGAGCAGAGCGGGCAGAATTCAGTGCTTGCAAAAGAGTTTTACTTTTTATAAAGTTGGCCTTTTACATAAAAAAAGTTGAGTACTGATTATAAATAACAAGATATGTGTACCCTTTCTTTTCTTTGTTTTATAAAAACTTGCTTCTCTCTAAGATCATGGCCTGTTTTTAATAAGTTGCTACAAAATAGTTCTGTTAAATCCCTAATTTTTTCAGTAATTTGCTTGCAAGAACACGATACTCTGCTTTTTGTACTTAAAAGTTGACTAAATTCGACAGAGAGATTCTCCTTAAAAACAAAAGAAAACAGTAAAAGGCAAGTAAAAATAACACTGAAGTAAAGTTAAACAAAAACCTTCTCTTGACGAAATAGTAAATTGGCAAGGTTGACTTGAACACTTTTTTCTTTTTTAGATTTCGTTAAGTGCTCGAGTGCACATATCTTTTGCTCTTTAAGCGTTATAAGATTGCGAATTTTAGCTTCAAGTTCTATAATAAAGTAGTGCTTCGAATTAACAAAAAATGTTATAGTTAAATTTAATTAAATAGTTGTACAAATACTAATATTGCTTAAAATAAACCTTGAATTTTAGTTGTGTTTATCCGTAGATCACCCTCAGAAAACCACTTATCTTGTTCTAAACAAATAAACAACACTTTTTTAATTAAACTCCAGGTTATAAAAGATTAAGGTGCATTAACTTGGCCGCTCAACCTTAGTTTCATAAAGGAGGGACTGATTGTCATCCTTTTGCGCAAAAGATAAGAGGTTCCGTAGATAACCTTCAGTGCAACCAATAAGTCTTGTTCCGAAAGACCGTATACACGGAAGAAAGTATATCAAGGATAAAATGGACACCAACAAAGAGATACATATCTTGTTTTGAAAAGGTTAGCCTGCTAAAAATTAACAACTCAGCAACGCACCTTAAGTACTAAGAACGGATTTTCAAAAAGAAATTTTAAAATTACTTCCATTAACAAGGGTAGCCTAAATATTTTATTTTGAACAAATAAAGTACGGGCAATGTTGCCTAAGGACAAACTTGGGTCAAGGAAAATTGAATGGACAAAACCTTTCACAGTAGAAGAAATTTCAAGTCGGGCTAGCCCGGAAAGACTTAAGGTGTCGAAGGGTTCTAGCTGAGTAGGATGCTTAAACAACCAATAACAGGCCAAGCCTTTTCAGGAATTATCACAGTGGCTTTGCTCATGTTTCCGCTGCCTTTAATGCTCCTGCTTTTGGTAGTTTACGAAACAAATTTTTTTTTGTCATCAGCGTCCGGAGATTAAACCAAAGGCTTTTGCCTTTTTCCTAAAGTCTCAAAATATTAATTGAGTAATAACTTTATACCGAAAATAAATGAAATATGAGAGTTTAAAGTATTTTAGAACACTGTAGAAACGTTCATTGTTAAATTAATGGTTTGTTCTATTTAAATTAAACTCGCTAAAAAGTCTGTGATATTGAAAAAATAAACTTTTACTGTATAAGAACTTCATAGTTTACTTTACACATTTTATACAGAACCTAAAAAAGGGGAAATTTTGTAAAAGAACAACTATATTCGATAAGGATAATTAATAATTGTGTATTTATTACATTTCTACTTACCGCAAAGCTTTTTAAAAAAGAACGTTGGTGAATTGTAGACCTCTATTTTATAAATAAAGTTCGTCTTGCCCGTTGGACCACAAGTCATTATAGAAAATGACTAAAAACTACTTGCTTACTTTACTTTGTGCTCTTCCTTTTTTTGTAACTATCTTATTAATAGTTCAATAAAGCTTACGCCTTACTAAGGCATTTGTACTCGTCTCTATAAATGCTACAAACTATACACAAAATGTTAGTAACTTAGTAATTGAATGCAGATTCTTGTTTCTATATATGGCAACTAAGAAAGACGAGGTAAACTAATACGTGGAACATAGTGTTATAGTAGCTACAACAGTTTCGGTTGAATAACGCTGCGTTACACTCTCCAGAATAACACTTCAAGTTTAAATGTGCTTTTGCTAAAACCTTTGTTCCTTAACAAGGCGGCTTATTTTGACGATAGTAAACGGTCGTATCATCGGCGTAGAGGGCGGTTCGTGTGTGTGGCTTTGACGAAAGGGCACGCCATTAATATAAATACCAAATAAAAGGGCGAGAGTAGTAATTACTGAGGGGACCCCTGTGTATCTCCTACGCACACGCTGAAGAGCGTGGCGTTCGTTATAAGGTCGGTTTTGATAAAATAAATATTTAAGTCGACACAAAAAACACAAACTAAAACATAAAAATACAATAAATTGCCAAATATAGAATGGTTACAGCAAGCAAGATAATTATGAGAAAAATTAATACTTGAAAAACCCAAAAAACAACTAAAAAGAATAATTACAAAAAAGGAAGCTCATTGGTTGAAACCTCTAAGTTCATCGGACAGCAGCATCCGAACTTATAGTTTATAGAGTACTAACCCACTAATAAATTGACCTTTTTTAGTAATCCTTCTTTATTTGATTTTATCAGTTGAATATATATAGAAATGATTCATGTTAGAATACTCTTTAACATACTATATGTAACCGTTTTACATAATAATTGATACAAAATAGTGGTGTTTACTCCATCTGCGCCCAACAATGCAAAAATTTAAGCGGCTCAATTATTGCTGTGTTCACTAGAATAGCTTTAATCCCTTAATCGCGTGGTGTGGGAGATTCAGCTGTGCACAAATTAAGAGAAACTTTTAATTTTTAATATTATTTCTATAAGTTATATAAAAAGTAATTATTAAAAAGTATTTTCCTTCGTATTATTCGATGATAAATTAACTAATAAGTTTTTAAAATGATAAAATTCCTGTTTTTCTATGAATCTAAAATCTCTAGTTAATATCACACACGCTTCTTTTCATATGCACCATAAAAAGAAAATCTTTTTCTTTTCAGTAATAGCACTTTTAATATTATTCAGCGTAAGCTACGTACAGTCTTAGATATATTGTATGAGTGTATTTTTGCTCTAAAGAATTTAAGCTAAAATGCTTTGGAACTGGGGATTAAAACGACTGCGAACAAGAACAGTTCACTAAAGAAAGTTACAATGGGAATAATGAACAGAGCAACGCAAACGGAAAACCCTTTGAAACTATTGCGGACAATGTGTTAAAGAAAACCAGATTAACAAATGCCTTATTAACTCTTTATACTTTAACATAATTTGAAGCGATACAATCAGCAGACGAAAACGTATGTAAATTAGAAACTAAAAAAGAGCTCACATCATTAACTAGATCAATGTTTTTTCGAAATAAAATTATGAATTTTATTACTAACGAAAAAATAATTTTAAATATGTGAGGGTGACATATTAAATCTGAATCAATACATAGCCAGATTATCTCGAGAGGCTTTCAGCAAATCCCTGATTTTAATTTTCAAGCCTTTTTTCTCCAGTGTTATCAAACATCTTCTTTTAGACTGCTATTAACTCTAGCTAAAACGTAAATTTGCCCTACTTACAGTAGACATAACAACGGTATTTTACATACTAAAGTACAAAAACCTATATTAATACATATATCACAAGGAATGTATTTAATTAAAAATAATTTAATCTATGCTTAAGTCTACTTAGAGAACATTATTTGGATAATACATGTGCATTATAAATTAATGTTTCTTCTCTTCAGCCATGAAGGGTCAGTAAGACCATGCTATCGAGATTTGCCTACAAGACTTAAAAATAATGTTTCAGTCAAAGTAAAGTAGATGAACGTGTATTTTATACTAATAACTTCAAAACGATAGCAGGATTTTACGTTGATGATTATATTATAATTGGTGATCACACCACCTTCATTAATAATATATTAAGGCATGTGTAAAAACTTAAAAAATGTTTTAAATTAACTTTGATGATAAGGACAATAACATCCTGTTAAATCGTCATAACATTTACCAACTTTTACAGAAACATCATATTGATAAAAAAAAATTTCAAAACTCCCTTGGTCAATTAGCACAAAGCAAAAACTACCCTTGAAGTGGATGCTAACCTTTTACAGCTTAGGCGGGTCACCACGAAAATTTGGTTAACATTACTAGACCTAATATTTATATGCCTCTCCTATGCTTAGACGCTTCCTACATTCGAACGGTGATAAACACATTAAGTGCGCGTTTCCTAAATAACTTTCTTTAATAAAAAATTAGTAGAATGCTACTGTGACGCTTCATGGGCAGACATCTATGACTAACAAAAATTAATACGTCTTATTGTGAAGCTGAATGAATGTATCGCCATAAGCAAGGCATTGTCTAGCACGTCTGCTATTAAAGATCTATACAGATAACGAAGCGGTGAAGAGCATAATAAGAGGTGATGCACCTAACAAAAAGATAAGACAAATGATATAGCATATTATCATTAACTTAGGGGTGCCGTGCTAAGAAAAGAGCATAACCTGATCTATTAAATGTACTTAAGCATTAGCTAATGATGTATAGATTCGGAGAAGGTTTTCTTATTTATAGCCAAATAATCATTTAACATTTTTTAGCTGGCAAACGAGAACCCGACTACTCCTTCGCTAAAAATATAATTTAAAACTCATGATAGACTAATTAACTATTAGCAAAACTCTTCTTTAAATTTTTAAACCAGCAACTAAAGTATATGTACTCACGTTAGTGAGATATAACCGATATAATAGACGAAATAAATCTAAAAAAATTTTTTGTCTTAGATGTAACGGAAGCTATATTCACACGCCGGTGAATATAATAATGAAAAATGTCTACTTTATAAAATTGAAGATATTGACAGAGGTTCCTTTGAATAAAAACCGAAGAACTACAATACGGCAAATTTAAAAAATCAACTTTTGAACAGAACTTAACCATTTAACAACTAGTCCGTCATATTTTATAGTTGCCAAAAGAGCCTACCCTCACTACATTAGGTTTAGTAATTTTGCTATATATATATAAGATGAGAAGCCTAAAATTTAAGGAATTATTCCGAAGTCTATAAGGCAGGGAACCTTAACATTTCAGTTAAAAGTAAAGCGTTTTATAGCCCCAGCTCTAGGCAGAACCTTTAATTTCTTTAGGCGAACTAAGTATACTACATCGCTTGCCAAATAAAGATTATTATCGAAAAAAGGAGGTCAATCAATAGCGCAGGGAAACATTGCAACGGGGCCTACGTGCTAAGTAATAGCATTAAGATATTTCGCTCAATACAAAAATAGTAGAATATGAAATAAATGAGCTACCTATAGAATACTATAAATATGGACATACCAGTTAGAGATATTTTTACCACCTCCGGCCACATATAAAACTACTTACGCCTACCAATGAAGGGTTTGTATAACTTGTAAAATAAAAAAACGAAAGGTGAGCAAGGCTTAGTACTCTCATTAAAAAAATTGAAGTCCAGGGGAACTACTTATATTAATTCATTTACAGAGGCACAACCTCTAATGATGGAGGTCGATATATCGTTGTAGGCACCGATACTAAGCCAAAAAATGTAACGACTTAATTTTCTCGATAAAAGCGTTACTAAAGAAGGAATTCTTAACTGAGCTAGTACAAGCATTATAAAACTTTTGAAGAATGCTAAACTTATTTGCAATTCACAAACTACCATATCACACAAAAATTGCACAGGTATGAGATCTACATAGGTCTATAGGGCTTTTAAAATAGGATAAAACAATGAGGGTATGGCCCTGACTCATGATGAGGTAAATGAACTATACAAATTACTTTGTAATATATGACCCGATGTATTTTAAAAAGTTAGCCTTTCTCTTCAATATTTGGGTTACGCATTTCGGAATGCTAAATTTATAATAACCCACCTTCAGAAGAAAGGTAAAATGAAATCCCTAATGATATATCTGACGCAAAGCGCTGTGATCTAATAATAACCCAATAGGTTGGAAAACTCTTATTTATGACCTATTCTTTAGAATAAAA